TGATCAGGGGACAGCAGGGCAGGCCCTATGAGGAGAGGCTACGGGACCTGAACCTGTTCAGCCTCCAAAAGAGAAGGCTGAGGGGGGATCTTGTGGCCTGTTATAAACTAGTCAGGGGGGATCAGCAGGCATTGGGGGAGTCACTGTTCCCCCGAGCACCGCCAGGAGTGACCAGGAATAACGGTCACAAGCTGGCAGAGGGTAGGTTTAGGTTAGACATCAGGAGGCGCTATTTCACGGTCAGGGCGGCTAGGGTCTGGAACCAACTTCCAAGAGAGGTGGTGCAGACTCCTACCCTGGGGGTTTTTAAGAGGAGGTTAGATGAACACCTTGCTGGGGTCGTTTGACCGCAGTACTCTTTCCTGCCATGGCAGGGGGTCGGACTAGATGATCTGCTCAGTTCCCTTCTGACCCTAGAAACTATGAAACTATAATTTTGGTTTCCTATCCCAGTGTTATTGAAAAACAATATCAGACACAACCCACGAAGACATGAACAAGGAAATAGCTTGTAAACAATCTGTATTAATGGCTATAACTATGTTAGTTAATAAAAAAAAATCCTGAAGATTTAATTAGACAAAATTGGGAGTCACTCTTAATGAAGAAGTCCAATTTTTCTGAAGATGAATTATATCCTTCTCCCTACATTATCATTAATACTGTTGTTGTATATTGATTTGGCTGCTATTATACTCTAATGTGTTTGTTGGATTTGGGCAATGCTTTTATCCACTTTACACCTAGATCATTAGATCTTTGAATATACCTCCTGATTTTTTCCTCCTTTAGCTCTAATGGCAATCTTCAGTGTTGTTTCACCTGCAAACCAGCATTTAGATGTTTCAGAGTAAGTGAAATGTTAATATTAATAACAAACAACTAGCAATTTCACAAAGTTAAACCTGTATTGAGTAAAACGTAATTTGATTTAAATATATTGAGCCAAATGTTCCCAGTAACTGTACTATTATAACTTTACTATTTATTAAGTACTACTAAAAAACATGAAACAGGCTTTGAGCCTATCTTGCTGCAGATTATATTGATTCAATGCCACTGATTCAAGGTTGCTGTGTTAGGACAGGTGAGGAAAAACTGGCTTATTAACTTCAGAAACATACAATAAATTGCATATTTCACATATCTTTGATAGTCGCTCTTCCCAGTTACTACAACCACTTCTAAATGTATATTTACTTGACACTGACTTAAAAAGAATGTGTACTCTTAAGTCAGATGTTAGCTAACTCAAGTTAAAATAGTAATAAGGACTTTTTAACTCAGGTTATCAGGTCATATTCCAGACCATAGGGGACACTGGCAACCTTAAGAATGGAATAAGTCACTGCTAAAGTATGGGAGCTGTTTGAGGATGCTCAGAAATTGGGACTCTTATGATTTATCTATGCTGCATAAAGCTGTGTACTTAATTCTAGTTAGCTAGCCCAAGTTATTTTAGTCAAGTTAGAATAGCAGTGAAGACAAGATTGTATAAATCATGTCCTTTGACAAAAGCCATTACAGTTGGATTCATGGCAACAAACTCTTCATGGGCTGAATTGATTCCTGTGCTGACTTGAGTTCAGCACAGGTTCAAAGAGGCAATGAGTTGGGGAAGAGTTAAATTGCCACATTGTGCCTTCCTGACAGTGAACCTCTTCTAGGGAAGATGGAAATAGCTTGAGGTTCACTCTAATCTGTGCTCAGCTGCCTACAGCTCTAAGCAGGCACATCCAAGGCTAAGCCACCTTCCCTTTTGAAATGACTCCATTACATTCCCTGCACTGGGGGTTCTGCAGGAAGTAGTACTGACTCTACATTAGTCAGGAAAACTTTTTATATGGGGTAAATTTCTAGAGGCTCTGCTACAGCAGTTTTAAAATCACTTTGTCATAAGTGAGCATTTAGAGAGATGAATTTGGCACATGGATATGAAAAAAGGAAACCAAATTTTAAAAGAAAAAATAATAAATATATAGCTAATGCAGCCCATGCAATTGTGTGGTACAAAAAAACCATTGATTCCTGTTATTTATGAGTCACTTATACCTTACCACTTGTGAATAATACCAAACCATCACATATGGTATATATAAAGAAGTCACAGTGTGCATGTGATGTTTTGAAACTTAGTTAATAAATACATATATTATAATCTAATGAGCTCTTGGTTTTAGTTTTCTCCTCTGAATTCTGTGGAAATGTCTATCTTTTTTTTTTACTTTCTAAACCTCCCTATTAATGTATATTAATTAACATCCAGGCTTTCTATGAAACCATATTGAACAGAAGTTTGTTTGAATTAGGAGATGATTACCTATGGAAACTTAGATTTTTTCCCCTAGAAGTGTCATTAATACACAAATGAAATTTAATAATGTATTTGAAGACTTCTGAACTGATTTTTTTAAATAGCTCATAATTATTGTGAATAATAACAGGTAAATTCTGCATCTAGTAAATAGCAAACTTTTACCTGGTGAGATCATGATTCACCCTGGAATATCAGCTTTTAAAATGTACTGGTCTTAACCGTATATAGAGACTCCATATAAATTCTTATGACTTACATGAAATGTATGACATACTTTCTAACATGAAACACAGTCATATCAAAGCTGACTAACTTAGGTTAGCTTGATTTTGAACATAAATCATTTTCTAGCTACATAAATAGCAGATAGTAACTGGCCAGAAATAACCACAACCCTCTTCAGATTAAAATCTTTTTGCATATAAGCAGACAACATACACTTTCCCAACAGTCCCCCAAGGATTTAATGTATTCCATGCAGGGTCATTAACATCACTAAGTAAAACTGGTATGCTATAATTAAATGCTTTAATGGTAGCAGTATTCGATTCTATATCTTTCAGAGGCTATATTTTAATAGGGCAGTGTGAGACAAGTGGTGGGATTAGCTAACAACTGAGCTCCTACCTGCTGGTCTCATCTTGATTCTGGAGGTAGTAGTTGATAGTGTTCACTAAAAAACTAAACAAGCGACTGTACAGTGACTTTGCTAAAAGATCCCGGTAAAATTCTGCTATCTCTACAGTATATCGCCTCATGATCATATCTCCTAAGAAAGTAAGTAGGAAAAGGAGAGGAAAGCATAATTAGAAAACACATTAGTAGCATTTTGACATAATATTTAACATAACATTTTAGATTTAACATAGCAACTTAATCCAGCCTTTTCACTTCCTCCTTTTGCCAATACCCATGTTGCAGGCTACTGGTATTTATGCAGGAAGAGCACAAGGCTTTTTCAACAACACACAAAACAGACCTTAACCTCAGGAAAAGGGGTAAAAATGCACATACACAGAGGGCCAAATTAATGCACAGGTAAACTAGGCACATGCCTAGGGTCCTGAGCTGTGAGTGGCCCTGGTCCTTCCCCCTGCAGTGGTGGTGCGAATGGCCCCATCCCCTTCCTTTTGTCAGTCTCACTGCTGTGGTGACTGCTTCCTAGCGGTGGCTCCAAACCCAGCTTCCTGCGGGCGGCAGCACTGGGGTGGGGAGGGTGGTTTTGACTGGCTGGAGGCCCATGAGTTTTTTTGCCTTGGGCCCACTAAAGTGTTAATCCAGCCCTGCACACACACGTGTGGTATACTGGACTCCATCTTTTGCTAAAGAGAACCCATCTGAACAGAAGCACAATTTAAATTTTGGTGTCTTGGGTGACGTGGGGGTTGGAGAGAAGCACTTACTTCCTGACACAGGTTGTAGAGGCATGGCAAGCTGCTGTCTTGGCACAAGCTGCCCCAACATGGGCTGTGATAGTGGCACAGGTTATCTGGGAATTGCTGGCCCGGACACACACACCCCTCCTCTGTTCTTAGCACTACAGCCTAGTTTCTGATCTTGCTACACTTGTGTAAGGTTCAACACATTTCAGGTGTACTAACGTTAGCCTCTGATCTTTGCTCAGGTCCACGTTACAGAGTTTACTAGAATTCTGTGGTCCAGCCTGCCATTCTTAAGGGTAACAGCCCTAAGTATTCTTGACAGAGATTTTTTACTGGCTCATAATAACATGAAACAAAACATCAGCTATTTTGCCTTTGAAAAGAAAAGGATTAATAAATAGCTACCAAAATCTCACGTATATGAATGTGAACTTGGAACACAGTACCTTTGAAATACTGAACATCAGTTGTTAAGGCAGAAGCGAGTTCATCTGGTGAAACCTGCAACATTCCTGCCACTGAAATGAAAAGAATTGTTCTGAATATTTGTGTGCATTTATTTAATTTTATTATGTAAACAGACCTTCTTATTTAGATGCTATTTTTTTAACAACAACTTGAAGAAGAGATTCAGAAAACTCACACAAATGAGACCATTATAATACTTGGCAACTTCAATGCAAGAGTTGGATTAAGAATTGGCCTGATACTTTGGGCAAACATGGAACTGGTTATATGAATGACTATGGCCAGCAAGTGTTAGAACTTTGTGCAAGTCAAAATCTATGTGTTACCAATAGCTACTTCACTGGCAAAAATCCCAAGGAAAACATTGTGGAAACATCCAAGATCAGGGCACTAGCGCCAATTAGATCTAGTACTGACCTTGCATAACCACCTGAAAGAAATCCTGCAGAGGTGCTATCACAGTGCTAACTTTAAGTCATTAATAGGCAAGTGAAGACACAAACAATGCTTCAGTTGGCTGTAAAGTCAAAATGAATGTCAAAAAGATCCACCATAGCAAAACTACAATCCATTCTCAGAGAGACATCAGCCAAATTAAAAACATAGAAACTAGGGGTGTGTGAAGTGGGCAGTATTTGATTTGGATTTTCCCCGATTCGAGGGACAGTGATTCAATTTGCTGATTCAGATCACTGTCACAGTTTGATTCGGCTGAATCTGAAGATTTGATGCTGATTCAGAGAATCACTGATTCAGCCATAGACACAGTTTTATATGTTTTTTCTAAATACCTCGAGGTACCAGGTGTGGCTCATGAATGCTGAAATGGTGGGGCAGATGGAGCGTCCCACAGGAGCATGGTGGGGAGGGGGGGAGGGGTTCCCCGCACACTTGATGGCGGACCTGGAAGTCCACTTCTGGGTCTGCTGCCAAGCACACAGTGGACCCCCCACCCCCACACACCCCCAGCTCAGTGATCAGCTGCGGGGGGTCCCTAGGTGCCCCCCCAGACCCAGGAAGCACCAGTCACCGAGCTGGCGGATGGGGAGGGGTCCCCCTCACACTCCGCAATGGACCCAGAAGTGGACCAGAATTACTTCTGGTCCACTTCAGGGTCCACCGCCAAGTGCACGGGGGAACCCCCTGCACTCCTGTGGGACGCTCCATCTGCCCCACCATCTTGGCTTTCACAAGCCACACCTGGTACCTCAAGAGATGTACAAAAAACATATAAAGCTCTGTCTATGTCCAAATCGGCAAATCTCTCTGAATCTCTCTGAATCAATTTGGAGGCTTCCAATTTAATTCGGAGAGATTAATGGGTCTCCTGGTTCAATTTGGTTTCAGAGATTTGGCTGCCAAATTAAGCACCAAGTCAGCCGTGAAAGCAAGTTTACCTAACAACACAGCCACCGAGGCTTAGGAAAGATTAAAAACTAACATGTACAAAGCTGCTGTAACAGCATCACAGCGTTTGGCAAAAAAGTCAAGAAAGATGCAGACAGGTTTGAAGAGCACTCTGAAACCCTTCTACCACCACTGAGAACAGAACGACAGTGCTAATCAACTATAAGAAATCTCCCAACACCCTAACCCTGGAACTTCTGAGGAAAGCTTGAAGAGAAATGCAGAAGAAGGCTAAGAGGTATACCCAAGATTTTTGACTGAAACACTGTAATGAGATTCCAGAAGCATCTGACACACGTGGTAGCCATGGAATACACAGAGGGATCAGATGAGCAGTTAGTTCAGTCAAAAAAAAACGGAGAAAGACTTAAACTGAAATGTCATTACTAATAAACAAAAACAACTCGAGTGTTGGATTGAACACTATGGAATTCTATACTCCACCGAGACTGAAATCAAACACAAAGAGCTTGGAGGGCTACCACAGTTTGAAATTAGGATGGATTTGGACAAGGAGCTTACATTAGAAGATTTGCAGAAAGCCATTAAATTGATTTCTTGGAATAAGGCATCTGATAACGACTTTTTGCCTGCTGAAATCTACAAATGTGCCGATGACAAATTAATTAAAAAACTGTATGATGTTATACTGCTCTGTTGGAAAGAGGAAGCAGTACTGCAAAATTTCAAAGATGCTCAATTTCTACAATTATACAAAAACCAAGGGGATAGAAGCAACTGTGATATTTATAGAGGTATCTTCCTGTTGAACATCATCAGAAAAAGTGACACTCAGATCATGGTCTCTAGCCTGCAATCTATTGGTGAAAGAATATATCCTGAAAGTCAATCAGGTTTTCACTCAGGATGAATACCACTGTACATAGTCTTCATCAATGTAATGATGGCCTTCAATACAGTCAACAGAGGGGCCTTTTTACTTTTCTGAAGAAACTGGGTTTTCTCGCCAAAGTGTTGAACATCATTCACTCATTACAACAAGGTATGAAGGCAACTGTAGTGTATGAAAACAAAGAATCAAATGCCTTTGACATCAACAACAGGGTGAAACAGGAATGTGTCTTAGCCATCCGTGCTTTTTAACGTCTACTTTTCATTCCTGCTTGTTCATGCATTTAAGGACAGCAATGATGGCATTTAACTTTAAAACAGACTAGATGGAGGCTTGTTCAACACTGCAAGGTTTAGAAGAAAGCCAAGGTGAAAGAACTAGTACTGAGAGACTTCCTGTTGTGGATGATGCGGCTTTGGTTCCCCACAGTGGTTCTTCCCTCAAAAATCTCTCAGGCAGATTTTCTGAGTCATGCAAGAGTTCTGGGATGGCAATTAGTCTTACGAGGACTGTGATCATATACTAAGAAGTGGAAGAACCAATACCTAACATCACTCTAGAGGATAAATCTCTTTGTGTTGTTTATGGTTTTTGCTGCTTGGGTTCTATAATCTGCAGGAATCTTGACCTTCAGACTTAACTGACTAACAGAATTGGAAAATCAGCTAAGAATTTTGTGCTACTACAGAAATGTGCATGGAATAACAGCAAATAATCAACTAAGGTGAAAATGCGAATCTACAAGACTTATTTACGGTCGTCCCTGCTTTGTGGTTCAGAAACATGGACTACATATGCCAGGCATATTAAGAGACTGAACAGCTTCCACATGAGATGTCACCATGTTCCTGAAAATAAAGTAGGAAGACAGAATATCAAAGACAGAGGTACTGAAGTGCACAGGACTGACTCATTTAGAAACCACTATCAAGAATAGGAGTTTGCAATGGATCCATCATGTCATGAGAATGGGAGGAAACTGTATCCCCAAAAATATTTTGTACAGTGAGATTCAAAATGGCTTTAGAAAGTGGGGTCACCCTCTATGGCAGTACCATGATGTGTACAAAACTGATATGAAGCCTTTCAACATCAACATAGAAAGCTAGGAGGAGCAGGAAGAATCCTGTCTGATCTGGAGGGAACATCTGGCACTAGGTGCAGCTCAACATGAAGTGGCTCTGAGCCAGAGGACAGAAGCAAAGCAAGAAAGAAGAAAGCAGCATGCTGTAAATTTTGACTCCAACTTAGACAACATATGGGTCTGTGAAACTTGTAACAAGCTGTGTCGCTCTCAAATTGGGCTCGTCACCACAGATGTATTCATCAGGCATCTGACTATAGACTTCTTATGTATCCACCACAATCCAGAGGATCAATGACTACCTACCATTTTTTTAAAGGGTGAAAGAACCTAAACATAAGAGGGAGCTGTCACAGTAGTAATCAAAATTAATGAACATGTAAAATCAGCTTACAATAATCAGGACTTTGTAAAGTTTGAATGCATCTGTATACTTGATTACAGCTTTCTCCCTTCTTATGGATTATACAGGACTTGGCAAGTTCTTGCTAGTATTAGAATTAAGGTATGCTATGTATTGGCAATCTGTATTCATAAGTCACTTTGAAGAGATTTGTAAGTGACCAAGAGGGCAACTTCAAAGCAACAGAAGCTTTTAACGCAAAGATTTTTTAATGTAAGGAATAATGTTCAACGTAAATTGCTTGGCTGTTGATAAGCAACATAGGTATATTTAAAAAGAGTAAAGAGTACCCAAAGTACACTGTATAACCTTTTGTACACTGTATAAGCAAATGTCAGGTTTAACAGAATTGTATTTATTCACTTAAAAATCTGTAATTTAGAAAATACCAAAGTCAATGAGATATTGTGTTTCCACACTAACTGATGAGGCTTCAGAGCAGATCTCTGTCAGCCTAGACAGTGTTTCCACCTATTGGTGAATCAGTGAAATTGCTCTGCTACAAGACAAAGGAGGCAACACTAGAAGCCATGTTCTACTAACCTTGTTCCAGTAGCTGCAGGTCTGACACAAATGCTGTCTCAGCGTCTGTCAGAGCAGTAAACCGAATGTCTCCAAGATGCAGAATTGCTGAGAGAATTACAAACAGGTTCTCCACCTCCTGTGCATATTTTATACACAATTAAAGATAAAGAAGAATTCTGCTGGGCACACCAATGAAAAAAAGATGCTTTACAAAAATGTATGCATTATTAATATATAGTAGTGGCATTTGCTAGACTAAAAGCTATTCATTTATAATGTATTAATAGGTAAGTACTTTAGGGTTTAGAAATCATACTGTGACCTATACAGTATATAAAACAATAAAAATTACCATTTTTACTATTTTATTCATGTAAATCAAATTAACTCATGTTCTGAGAAATGTATTTAGAATGTGGTGCAGAAATAATAAAATACCTGTAATAGATATATTATTTCTGCAATAAATAAAAATGTCTTGCCTACTGACAATTACAAAGTGAGAAATTCTATACCTGTGAATAGCAATATTTTTTCCCAGCCTATCACAATCAAAAGCAAATGGTATAGCTATAAATTACAGCAAGATCCTGGTGGCAAAAGCTATAATCAAAATTTTTAAAGTACATTAAGATTTTTATATGCTTATAACTTTTTGAAACAATAACGTTTTAGACTAATTTTATAGGCCTAATTTCTGCCAAAAAGTTTTTTTCCTTTTTCTTAATATAAAAATTAAGCAAAAATTGCTCCAGAAAAAATGAGTGAGAAAGGTAAGAATTAACTTGTGATTTATTTTGTGAAAAATGATTCTGAATCTTTGAAAAGAGGAGTTAAAAAAGAAAGAAAACTAAACGGCTGGGGTTTTTTGCATTTAAATTACATAGCAAGAAAATCCTCTCTCTATAAAGTGTTACTATGTATTATGGAACAGTGTCAACTGATAGTGAAGTTATCTGATAACTTGCATTTGAAAAGTACTGAAATCATTCTTACAGCCTGATTTATGACACATTTGTTTTGGTCCATGCAGGTCAAGTGGCTTTATTTATTAACTATTTGTTCCAGTATCGGATCCAAAATACTACAACATGAAAAATACTATGTTACAAAATGAAATATTTAATCAAAGACTCTTTTCTTGTTTGCACTGCAAGAGACACAACCATAGCTTCTAAAGAAACTGTGGAGAACCCCAACCCTCTAAGGGTGTCCCAACACACCCTGCTCCAAAGCATGGAAATGCTCCAGTTAAGATGTTCCACGGACATTCATTCGGGGCTGCTCTTGAGACCATGGTTTCTGGCTTTCTTGACAGCAGCCTCCAAAGATGTCCCTGAAGTGGCCCCATCAGCATATTTCCAGAATTGGAGTGTACAAGTTTGAGTGGGTAACTGGGAAATGTTTTGGAGCCATTCTAGCAGATGCAAGGTGCTGAAAGGGCCTTGCAAGAGATATAACATGAGAACAAAATGCTCTCACAAACTCTTATCCCCTAAACCAGATTATTTTTCAAGTGACTTTTCAACCTCTTGGAACTTAATAGGGAGCGTAAAAGGAGTAATAATACTTTCTTCTTTATCTTTCTGTAGCCCTGACTCCTGCCTCTACAGCCATGCATCCTACTTCTGCCCTGCAAAAATCCCATCACAAAGCAGCTCACAATGCTGGCAAGAAAGCTAACAGCATACTAGGCTGCATTAGTAAGAGCATTTGCAGCAGATCAAGGGAAGTGATTATTCCCCTCTATTCTGCACTGGTGAGGACACATCTGGAGTACTGTGTCCAGTTTTGGGCCCCCCCACAATCAAAAGAAGTTGCAGAGAGTTCAGTGGATGGCAATGAAACTGGTGAGGGGGCTGGGGCACATGACTTCTGAGGAGAGGCTGAGAGAACTGGGCTTATTTAATTTGGAGAAGAGAAGACTGTGATGGGATTTAATAGCAGACTTTAGCTATCAGAAATGTGTTTAGAAAGAGGATGGAGCTAGACTGTTTTCAGTGGTGGCAGAGGACAGAACAATGGGCAAAGGTCTCCAGTTGCAACAGGGGAGATTTAGGTTGGATATTACAAAAAAAACTCTCTCTCACTAGAAGGGTGGTGATGCCCTGGAACAGGTTACCTAGAGAGGTGGTACAATCTTTATCCCTGGAGGTTTTAAAGGCCCAAGTCGACAAAGTCCTGGCAAAGATCTAGTTGGGGATGGTCCTGCTTTGAGCAGGAGTTTGGACAGATGACCTCCTGAGGTCCCTTTCAACCCTCATTTTCTATGATTCTATACACACAGACCTGACACTGACCCCAGGAGAACCCCTGTGAGCAGGCACAGCACCTCCTCTCCCTCTTCCCCTTTCCCTCCCATGTCACTGTCAGGTGCAGGCAAGCAGCGTGGGGTGGGAAGGAGGGATGGGAAAGCTTGCCCATGCCCAGCAGTCCAATCAGTCTCTGTGGTGCTGCACATGCTCATGGGGGTTCTCCTGGGCTCAGTGTCAGGTCTGTGTGTGCAGCATGGGGTGCTTTGTGACGGGGTTTGTACAGAGTCACAGATGCCTCCTTCCCCTCCTGTACTGCCTGCCAGCAGCTAACAGATACCTGTGACTGACAGACAATGCAGCAGGGGGAGGAGAGCATCCCTGGCAGCCAATCATGGCTGGCCCAGGTGCTCAGCTGTTCTTATAGTCTCTGGCAGCCTGGGGAGATGTGGAGCCTGCTGAGAGGTGTGCAGGAGCACTCCCAACCTGCTGGCCTCAGCCAAAGCAGGCAGACTGCGTGACCCCCTGCAAAGGACCAATGTGTGGTCCGTTCATTCCTGATCTAACCTACGCTGCTTACAGAAAACCATGTCACTTTGACTGATTCCGCCTCAGGCTTTTTGAATGTCTGTACTTAGCCTCACTCTGATGAATGAACAGAATGCCTGTTATCTCAGCAGCGCTAATTACCCTGGGGGGAGCACTGTGCTAATGCACCTTTTGGCTAAGAACAAGATCATTTACATTGAGCACATCATTGGCCATCCTCAGTATGAAGTGAGCCAGATGAGACCATGTATAAGCATTACATTTTTGCTAGAGACTTTCTTCCAGCACAAAAGAATGTGTACAACTGTTCAAAATGTTCCTACAGAAGAATAGCTATTCCACAAGAAACTTCTGCCTCATCAAACCAGGTCTCTCTCCTCACTCCTGCACTAACCTGAATAGCTGTACGCTTCTCTCAGGTGTTGAGGGCCCTCAGTATCCCACAGTTATCTGTTCTTCCTTGCTCTCTCCAAAGGAGAGGAGGGCCATTTTTCTGAGGCTTCCCAACATTTGAGAAGTAGTCCCCACCTGGTGCACTCCTCCAGTTCAACCCAGAGGAGTGCAGTAGGAGCCAAGCAGGGGTAGACCAGAGGAGTCACATCCCCCATTTCAGACCACACTGCAGAACCAGCAGCCAGCGACTTTTTAAAGTCTCCAAAACATAAGAATCCACCCCCCTCCATCTTCCAGCTGATCTCGATTTTTTTGAATGGCTCTGGAAATCAAAAGATCAGGTTCTAGCCCAGGATCAGAGACTTACTTACGGTCTCCATATCCATACAATACTACTTAGCTATACCTAAATAGGGATATTAGTAAATATTAGCCTGCGGCAGTGAAGCATCAGTGAGGATTGGTTATGTATTGCTTATGTAGCTCTTCAAAAAGGTAAAGAACTTTATCATTACCTTCAGTTAAAAGAAAAGTAAATTTGGATCCCTCCACAGATCGCATAGTTCATTTAGGAGGCATGACCTACCCTATACTAACTCCCATATATCCAGCATAGAAAGCACATCAAGAGCTCTGAACTGATTTGTAGTTTGCTCAATGACTCTTTGGGGACTACTGCAGTCTGCTGAATATAGGGAAACCCTATGATCACTCTAAGTTATTCCAAAGATTGTTCTTTTCTTC